ACTTAAAGTGGACCTATCATGCTATATTTGAATAATATAGTGTAGGACCATACCTATATAAGGCATATTTATACTTTTTATTTTTGAAAATACCAAACAGATCATGCATTTTAGCCATTCCTCATTTCGCTCAGTTTAACACTGTCTTTGCACGGGCTGATTCTGTGAGAACAGCGCCATCTACAGGCCTGGCATATGTACTACAGCCTCTCCAGCGCTTTCATTACATTACATTACATTACATTGCATTTAGCTGACGCTTTTGTCCAAAGCGACTTACAATAAGTACATTCGACCAGGAAGACACAACCTTGAAGAAAACAGAATCATATAAGTATATCAGGTTTCATAGAGCCAAACATTTCAAGTGCTACTCAACTGGCTTTAGGCTAATCCAGTCCTTTATTGGTATAAAAGTGCTTCGTTAATCGTTCTAACGCTCGAAGTGGAGTCGAAAGAGATGAGTTTTCAGTTTGCGCCGGAAGGATGTGCAAGCTATCTGCCGTCCTGATGTCAATGGGGAGCTCATTCCACCATCTTGGAGCCAGGATAGCAAACCCACGTGTTTTTCGCCTGATGGGAACTTGGGTCCCCCTCGCAGCGAGGGCTGCAACGAGTCGTTTGGCTGATGCAGAGCGTAGTGCACGCGCTGGGGTGTACGGTTTAACCATGTCCTGGATGTAGGAAGGGCCAGATCCATTCGCAGCACTGGTAAGCAAGTACCAGTGTCTTGAAGTGGATTCTAGCAGTTACCGGAAGCCAGTGAAGGGAGCGGAGGAGCGGAGTGGTGTGGGAGAATTTAGGAAGGTTGAAAACCAGACGAGCCGCTGCATTCTGGATGAGCTGCAGAGGTCGGATGGCACATGCAGGTAGACCAGCCAGGAGGGAGTTGCAGTAGTCTAGGCGTGAGATGACGAGAGCCTGGACCAGAACCTGAGTCGCTTTCTGAGTCAGCTGGGGACAATCTTTTCCCGGGAGGAAGAGCAGCTCAGTCTTGTCAAGGTTGAGCTTGAGGTGATGAGCAGACATCCACTGAGAGATGTCAGCTAGACAAGCAGAGATGCGTGCGACGACCTGGGTCTCTGAGCGGGGAAAGGACAGAATTAATTGGGTGTCGTCAGCGTAGCAGTGGTAAGAAAAAACCATGCGGGCTAATGACTGATCCGAGCGAGTTTGTGTACAAGGAGAAGAGGAGGGGACCAAGAACAGAGCCCTGAGGGACCCCCGTAGTTAATTGACAAGGGTCGGACTCAGACCCTCTCCAAGTCACCCTGTAGGTACGATCTTTCAGGTATGAGGTGAGGAGGGAAAGTGCAGAGCCAGAAACTCCAAGTTTTTGGAGAGTGCGAAGGAGGATCTGCCGCTTTCGAACGGCAATGTCCGTGGCTGTCTCCTCCTGATTGGTGGAGTTGGCCCAATAGCCGTAGCTGTGACGTCACAGAAGTGTTCAAATCTGGATCAGTCTGTATCAGATCCGTTGCAGCCCATTTTTAAGAGATTTGGGTATAGAGGAAAATAGAGAGGGTTGTATTTTCTGACACTTGGTGAGTTCCCTGGAACACCGGGGACACATATTCATGTATACAAGACGTACAAGAGTGCATTTTGCATGATAGGTCCCCTTTAAATAGTGTGCCGAACTGTACGGAGCAAGTGAGTGATTCCTCTTCCTAAAGTGTGAAAGACTCCTGCAGGAAAGAGACACATCTAAACTATTGTGTCGTCGCTTCCTTCCTTTGCTTTCTATCCAAGCCATACGTTAAACAGACATTTCTAACGCGTTTCCTTCCATAAGATTTGTTTAATTTAAGATTTGTGATTTAATTTGATACTGTGTTTTGCGTTGACTCAAAATAAAATAATACACTTTTTACACATTCAACAAAGAAAACAGGCGTTTCCAATAGTCCAAACAAATCAAACAAAAGAGGTGAAACTCAAATAAAGTAATAAACAGCTTAGGTGCTCTCTCTCTCTCTCTCTCTCTTTCTTTCGGCTTCTGTAACTTTAGAGGTAACTTAACGGTTACATTTTTTGCCTTGAAGGCGTCAGGTTTCCCATCTCTGTCTCTTCCTGCGTCTTGGCCAATAGTCGCACTGGAACACACATGGATGAACACACACTGCGCATGCGTGAGTGGCAAATAACTCTCCTTGCCAGCAGGCGGCGGTAGTGTGTATTCGTCATTCAAAAGAGGCAACAACCGGAAGACAGACTGCATGATACACCGAGAGAAGAAGAACAGGCTGCGTGATATAAACATGGATGTATAAACAAACAACCAGTGGCGTTTTTATATGTATAAAAGTGGTGGGGCACAAAAAACGTAGATGTCTATATATAAGCTTCTGCAGTGAGGTTCATGGCTGCTGAGGCTCTGACTCTTCAGGTTTACAAACTATTATATTCTGACCTAAATCAAAATATAATATTATTTTCAAAAGCTTTTTTTGTCTGATGCTTCAATTAATTTTAAACAGACAGTTCAACAGAAGGATACCCAAAAAATGTAATTTTATCATTTAAATATGGAATTGTTCTCTCTTAGTAAGATCCCATTTTCAATCAAATTGCGGTCTTACCTTGACATGAAGATTAAATCCATTTGCCTATCCCTCTGGACAAAAATCTCTTACTTTTTTGTAAAAGTCCTCCTTATCTTCTTGTAGTTTCAAAAGTCTATCATAAATCTAATCTAATCGATAGATTTATGATTAGAAAATTATAAAAGTATGGTAGACATGTGGATATTATCCGGCTGAACAAAACGTGCATTTATCTAACAGGTTTGTTTCCCACAGATTTTATTTGGAGCTATTTTCTAAAATCCTATGGAGAAATCTTATTGCTCTTTTGTCGAGGGAAGCCATGCGCAGCTTACTTCCGGGTTTTAGGACGCCTCACTGCAGCTCTCTCGTCTCCTCTTCACACACCACACTTTTCGCGGCACACGTACTTCATTTCATTTCAAACCTTTATTTATACAGATAAATCCCATTGAGATCATTGATCTATTTTTCAAGGGAGACATTACATTACATTACATTACATTGCATTTAGCTGACGCTTTTATCCAAAGCGACTTACAATAAGTACATTCGACCAGGAAGACACAACCTTGAAGAAAACAGAATCATAAAGTACATCAGGTTTCATAGAGCCAAACATTTCAAGTGCTACTCAACTGGCTTTAGGTAAGCCAGTCCTTTATTAGTATAAAAGTGCTTCGTTAATAGTTCTAACGCTCGAAGTGGAGTCGAAAGAGATGAGTTTTCAGTTTGCGCCGGAAGATGTGCAAGCTATCTGCTGTCCTGATGTCAATGGGGAGCTCATTCCACCATTTTGGAGCCAGGACAGCAAACCCACGTGTTTTTGCCGATGGGAACTTGGGTCCCCCTCGCAGCGAGGGTGCAGCGAGCCGTTTGGCTGATGCAGAGCGGAGTGCACGCGCTGGGGTGTACGGTTTAACCATGTCCTGGATGTAGGAAGGGCCAGATCCATTCGCAGCATGGTAAGCAAGTACCAGTGGAGACCTGCTCAAGTAGTTCCACATGAAACATAAAAACATAAATAGAACAACAAAAGGACATCATACAGCATAATTGACAGAATTATCCACATAAACAGGTACCAATAGCTTCCGATTGACTAGCATCCAACCGAGCTTTAAAAACATTTAGTGGCACCAGATTGTTACTTACAGCCAATCAGCTGTGAATGATGTGAGATGACGTATGGTGGGGATGGCAGCTCTATGCCCCTATGGTCATTATTGTTTTGCCACACACAATAAATAGGAAAATACTCTGAGCATGCGCAGTGTAGTTTTTACAGTCACCATTGACTTAGACAGTGAGAGGGAGGGGCATGATCGGGTTTTGTCCCACATGGCTCTAAACAGCTCTATAGGCACACACTGTAAACACTAATTAGAAGAACACAGACTAAAACAGCAATGAGACGAATCAGATGATTAAACATGATCTTAAAATATATTTTTTCATTTATTTTTTGCATTTTTTTGTAATCATTATTTTTAATATTTTCTGCTGACACTAGGTGGGGCTGTGCCCCACCTGCCCCTAATGACCAGTCGCCACTGCAAACAACAAATACCGTGAGTTCCATTTTCACTCTCGTCCATCGAAAACCTGTTTAGTGCGGTACTGGCGGTATCAGCCCTTGGACTGTTGCTTGTGGAAGCAGATGGATGAAAATGAAAAATAATAGCGGTCTGTGTGTGCCTTCTTAATCGTTTGTTTGCGTACCTCGCTTCTCATGCACTGATTCCCTAAGCTGAACAGCCAATCAGAGTGATTTATTTTGCTGACAGCCTTTTGCCGACAGCCTCCCGATTCAACATGACGAATCGGGGGCGGAAGTTGTCTGCGCGGCCGAAAAGACACGACGGTGCGGGACACACCAATCTGAGTAGGGCGACAGGATGCTCATCGACAGCCAGACATCTACCGGCTTGGTGTGTCAGGGCCTTTACTTGACTACAGACGTCACGATTAGGTGGCCCTATTTATAAACAAAAATACTGGCTCTAACATATGGTGTATCTTTTGCGAAAGAGAACAAGAAAAAGGGGGGAAATATAAAAAATCTGCCAAAAATGAAATATAAAATTCTCACTTCTGTAATATTCCCCCAATAACCCTGTCTCAAGGATCCTTGTATGAACTACTACATTACATATTTGACCCATTGAGGAAAAAGGATGGAGGGGTATATATGCTATAGGGGGTTCTTTTATCTCATAGCAACACAAATAGGATGGATGTTTCCACACTACCTTCTCTACAAGAAATATAAATGCTTACCACTTTCTTTGATGGAAGCTAACTTTGGCCTTTCAGCTCGCAGGCACCTCACGTTCTGCAAAGCTGTACAAAATAAGTATAGGCGATGAGATAAATCACCAACTCCTCTCTTGTCTGCAGGTGCTATCGAGGCCCAAGAGTTCTGCTATAGGTACAACACCAGAGGACTATACTGGTCCTTCTGCAAGAGGACCGCCAACGACCAGTTCATCCCCTGCCAGAGAGAGTGAGTCTCACAGAAACATTAAAGCTCCCCTATTATTCTGTTCTTCATCAGTATATCACAGGTCTCAGATATACAGAGAGCCTGTCTCTGATTGGCTGAAACACCAAACAGATCATTGCAGCATCCCAGATTCCCCTCTGTTTCAGCCCTGTTTCCAAAGTGCTGATTCTCTGTCTGTTACATTAGTCCTGATGCTCTTCTAGGTCATCACACATCCTGTCATGAACACAGCTACAGTTGGGATACCGTTGTTATCATGTGACTCTCATGCTGGAGGAGGACGTTCAGTGTTTGTCTAACCGTTTCTGTCCCCTCTTTGTCTTCAGAGATATCTTCTGTGGGAAGCTGTTCTGTGAAGGCGGCAGCAGCAACCCCAACTACGGCCGGATGGTCAAAGTCGGGAACTGCAAGGCGGCATTTTTTGGAGATTTCACCAAAGACTACGGCCAGGTGGACACGGGGACCAGATGTGGGGAAGGAAAGGTAACATGCTCTTTAGACTCTTTCTACGCTGCTATGCTTTGTGTTGCACTAACGCACATTTCTAAAAGTCATTGAAGCGACTGTTATTGTTTTATATACTGATTGTTGTGATTTTGTTTGTCTTAATGTGTGCATATGTATAAATGTGTCTGTTGATAGTATATATATATATTTTATACATATTTTTATATATCTTTGTTTTTGTATTCCGGATTGTGGGAAACGGTATTTCGATCTCTCTCTCTGTGTGTTCACACAAACTGACAGATTGACAATAAAGTTGACTTTGACATCTAAAGAGTGGAGAGCTCGGGAGTGTCTTGCTTTGACTTTTCTAATTCTAATTTGGCGAGCAGTTTTCCCGCAAATCGTAAAAAACTGTTTTAACATTAGTTGTTGGGGAAATAATTCCCAAGGCCCATAACTTTGACCCAGTGTATCAGTTCTGACCTCACTGAGCGCAGGCACCGTAACCTGGCTGCTGCTCTCAGTGTCTCCCTGTTCCTGCCTGTTGGATCAGCTGATAGAGGTGTTATGGTTCTTTCTTGTTCTGCAGCATGTGGATGATTCTCTCTGAACCAGCTAAACACACGGGTCTGGGTCAGAGTTCTTCAGAGTTGATTGTGGCATCTCAACTCGTGGCTCATGACATGTCTTGTGCCATCAAAGCTCCAGCTCTCCTCGTGTCTCTCTGAGTCCTGACTCTCCATGGCTGCAGAAGTTTCCCCCACATTAGTGTGTTGCTGCTAAATGCTGAACACAGTGAATACAGCGCCAGTAAAGCCTGTAATAATTAGTCACTTCAAAAATAACTAATCAAGTTAAAAGGTGATCGACCCGCACTCTAACAGAGATTTAAGTCTCTGGGTTTTACTATTGCTAAACGTGATTAAAGGGAGTCGTTACATGAATCACTGGACAGCTTTCAGACCTGTTAGCTATAGTTTCTGCTTCCAACTTGACTTAAAGGTCCCCTATTACTCAAAGTCCACTTCTTCATGTCTCTTCTACATCAACATATGTCCCCTCTTCTTCATGTCTCTTCTACATCAACATGTGTCCCCTCTTCTTCATGTCTCTTCTACATCAACATGTGTCCCCTCTTCTTCATGTCTCTTCTACATCAACATGTGTCCCCTCTTCTTCATGTCTCTTCTACATCAACATGTGTCCCCTCTTCTCATGTCTCTTCTACATCAACATGTGTCTCCTCTTCTTCATGTCTCTTCTGCATCAACATGTGTCCCCTCTTCTTCATGTCTCTTCTACATCAACATGTGTCCCCTCTTCTTCATGTCTCTTCTACATCAACATGTGTCCCCTCTTCTTCATGTCTCTTCTACATCAACATATGTCCCCTCTTCTCCATGCCTCTTCTACATCAACATGTGTCCCCTCTTCTTCATGTCTCTTCTACATCAACATGTGTCCCCTCTTCTTCATGTCTCTTCTACATCAACATGTGTCTCCTCTTCTTCATGTCTCTTCTGCATCAACATGTGTCCCCTCTTCTTCATGTCTCTTCTACATCAACATGTGTCCCCTCTGAGACTCTGAAAGTCTCAGGAACAAAGACCCCCTCTCTGTCCTGATCCATCTCTCTAAAAACCTGAAGATTGAGCTCTTCATGCTCATGTTTTAATATTCAAATCTACAATCAAAGTCATATATGACCACTTTCTCTCCAGGTGTGCAGTCAGAACGAGTGCGTGGAGCTTCAGACGGCGTACAGAAACACAAACTGTTCAGCCAAATGCCAAGGACACGCTGTGAGTAACCACCAACACTGATCAGAGTGTTTGTTGTTGTTGTTTATGTTCACATACTGTGTACAGGAAGTAGAGGCATTCACCGTGACTTCACACGTTTGTTTGTAGACTCAATTTGGGGTTTTTGGTCGTCACCGTCTTGGCTTATTGGAACTAGAAGAGCCAAGTACAACATTTTACTGAAATATACATGTTCAGGCGACCGAACAGTAGAAACACAAGCGGTGAAAAAGTTCTATATTTGCAAGAAAAGACAAAAACGTAAATCAAACATAAGCCCCGCCCCTAAATTATACTCTACTTTATCGTCTATTTGACTCTAAATAAGACCATAATATACTTAATGAACATCATGCTGCATCAAAGAAAACTTTAAACTAGAGATTGAGAGCAAAAACTAATCAGGACAATGTTTATAAATGAAGTGAAATGTAAAGAGGCTTCTTCATAGGTCTTCTATTCAAACAGAGCAGTCGCCCCCTGCTGGCTGTTTCAGGGAGTGCAGGGTTAAGGCTTCGCTCTTTAGACCTGGAAGTTGCTGCTTTTAATGGAACAGAAAATAATGCATAAAATCTTTAAAGTGCTGAAAACCACTAAGAAATAAATCATAATAATAAACAATAAATAGAAGAAGATACCAAACAAGGTAAATCCAATCATTAGGTGTGATGACAGTGAAATAAGAATATAAACAAGTTGTTGTCTGTGATAAAATACAAAACAACAACAAGGAGAAAGACACACCATACACATTTCATTTAGCTTTGTCTCACCAAATGATCTGTATTTACTTTAGAGTGTAAGCAGGAAGAGACCGTGCTGCATTACATTAAATGAGATTTACACATTGGAGTGGATTTCTGAGTTTATCTGAAAACTAATGCTAAGAAAGTGAACTACATCAGGCTGAAGGCAAACACAAAAACCTGTTACATTTTATTTTTGGAAATGGAACAAATGTTAGTCATTGGCTGAAAGTGGCAGCTTCAACGATATTAAATGATTTGACTTATGGGTAAATGAAACGGTAATAAAGAGTGACATGTGTTAAACACGGCTGCTCCTTCAGAGTGCCATTAATAATAATTCTATTTAGAGGCGCCTTTCAAAGCGCCCAAGGACACCTTACCATTCATCACATGTCCTAAGGAAAGGTTTAAGGGAGCACGAGAGGAGCGTAGCAGGGAACTTGAAGCTCATTGAACAACTCGTGATACCAGCAGGGTGCATTGTGTGTCCTCAGGTGTGTAACCACAGGAGTGAGTGTCAGTGTGAGGCCGGCTGGATGCCTCCTGGCTGCTCCTCCGAAGAGGCCTCCGAGGGTCTCTCTACAGGTGAGGCTACTGCGGGACTTCTACATGACCAGTGTTGAATTTGTCTCTTCTTCATCAACATGTATCCCCTCTTCTTCATGTCTCTTCTTCATCAACATGTGTCCCCTCTTCTTCATGTCTCTTCTACATCAGCATGTGTCCCCTCTTCTTCATGTCTCTTCTACATCAACATGTGTCCCCTCTTCTTCATGTCTCTTCTACATCAACATGTGTCCCCTCTTCTTTCTTCATGTCCTCTTCTACATCAGCATGTGTCCCCTCTTCTTCATGTCTCTTCTACATCAAACATGTTGTCCCCTCTTCTTTCATGTCCTCTTCTTCATCAACATGTGTCCTTCCCCTCTTCTCCATGTCTCTTCTACATTCAACATGTGTCCCTCTCTTTTTTCTTCATGTGTCCTTCTCTGCATCAACATGTGTCCCCTCTTCTTCATGTCTCCCTACTCACAAATGTGGTCCCCTCTTCTTCATGTCTCTTCTACATCACACACACTGATGTCCCCTCTTACTTCATGTCTCTTCTACATTCACAGGTGTCCCTTCTTCTTGCTGTTCCTTCGACATCACAGGTGTCCCCTCTCTTCATCTTCATGTCTCTTCTTACATCAACATGTGATCCCCCTCTTTCTTCATGTCTCTTCCTTACATCAACATGTGTCCCCCTCTTCTTCATGTCCTCATTCTACATCAACATGTTGTCCCTCTTCTTCATGTCTCTTATACATCAACATGTGTCCCCTCTTCTTCAATGTCTCTTCTACATCAATAATGTGTCCCCTCTTCTTCATGTCTCTTCTACATCAACATGTGTCCCCTCTTCTTCATGTCTCTTCTACATCAACATGTGTCCCCTCTTCTTCATGTCTCTTCTACATCAACCTGTGTCCCCTCTTCTTCATGTCTCTTCTACATCAACAGTGTCCCCTCTTCTTCATGTCTCTTCTACATCAACATGTGTCCCCTCTTCTTCATGTCTCCTCTACATCAACATGTGTCCCCTCTTCTTCATGTCTCTTCTACATCAACATGTGTCCCCTCTTCTTCATGTCTCTCTACATCAACATGTGTCCCCTCTTCTCCATGTCTCTTCTACATCAACATGTGTCCCCTTTCTTCATGTCTCCCTACATCAACATGTGTCCCCTCTTCTTCATGTCTCTTCTACATCAAACATGTGTCCCCTCTTCTTCATGTCTCTTCTACATCAACATGTGTCCCCACTTCTTCATGTCTCTTCTACATCAACATGTGTCCCCTCTTCTTCATGTCTCTTCTACATCAACATGTGTCCCCTCTCTTCATGTCTCTTCTCCATGTCTCTTCTACATCAACATGTGTCCCCTCTTCTTCATGTCTCTTCTACATCAACATGTGTCCCCCTTCTTCATGTCTCTTCTACATCAACATGTGTCCCCTCTTCTTCATGTCTCTTCTACATCAACATGTGTCCCCTCTTCTTCATGTCTCTTCTTCATCAACATGTGTCCCCTCTTCTTCATGTCTCTTCTACATCAACATGTGTCCCCTCTTCTTCATGTCTCTTCTACATCAACATGTGTCCCCTCTTCTTCATGTCTCTTCTACATCAACATGTGTCCCCTCTTCTTCATGTCTCTTCTACATCAACATGTGTCCCCTCTTCTTCATGTCTCCTCTACATCAACATGTGTCCCCTCTTCTTCATGTCTCTTCTACATCAACATGTGTCCCCTCTTCTTCATGTCTCTTCTACATCAACATGTGTCCCCTCTTCTTCATGTCTCTTCTACATCAACATGTGTCCCCTCTTCTCCATGTCTCTTCTACATCAACATGTGTCCCCTCTTCTTCATGTCTCTTCTACATCAACATGTGTCCCCTCTTCTTCATGCTCTTCTACATCAACATGTGTCCCCTCTTCTTCATGTCTCTTCTACATCAACATGTGTCCCCTCTTCTTCATGTCTCTTCTACATCAACATGTGTCCCCTCTTCTCCTTGTCTCTTCTACATCAACATGTGTCCCCTCTTCTTCATGTCTCCTCTACATCAACATGTGTCCCCTCTTCTTCATGTCTCTTATCAACATGTGTCCCCTCTCTTCATGTCTCTCTACATCAACATGTTGTCCCCTCTTCTTCTTCATGTCTCTTCTACATCAACATGTGTCCCCTCTTCTTCATGTCTCTTCTACATCACCATGTGTCCCCTCTGTGGAAAGAGACTCTGAAAGTTTCAGGAACAAAGATTCTCTCTCTTTTTGATCCATTTCTATAAAAACCTGTCTGAAAATGAGCTGATCAGATTTCGGCCACTTTATGATGTCATAGCGATGTGTTGTCTTGTGTAACCATTAGCCAATCAGCAACCAAAGGTAACCCCCCCCCCCCTTATCACCTGAACCTCCTCTAGAGCTCCATTGAGTTCTTTGTAACCAAATGTCTCTCAGAGGGGCGTGGGGAGGGGCTCCTTGTTTTCATCTGAAGTCACAGACAGAGAAGCAGCTCTTTGGAAACAGGAATCTTCTCTTGTCTAATTCAATCTGCTTTCCCTTTCTGCAGGAGCCACGGTGGCCATCGCTCTGACGGTGATCTTAGTGGTGTTAGGTGTGATTGCTGGAGTGATCGGATTCATCTGTAAGAAACGACAAAGTCCCGTGTTGCCAACGTGAGTAAATAAACCGTATTTCAGATTGTAGTGAGGCCTTTATGCTGAAAGTCACCTTCACAATCTGTTGTTTCTAACAGTTCACACACGCAGAGGAAGCTGCCAGTGATGCTCAGTCAACAGACTATAGTGCAGGTAATGCTGGGAGACCCCCACCATGAAGATGGTTTTATGTTGGATGTGTTGCAGCAGCTTAAAACAACAACTCAATACATAAATAACAATATTTACATGTTAGGTTGTGAGGCCCAAACCCAAAGGAGCTCCACCGCCCCCCCCCTCCAGCCGGAAACAGACCCAAACCCCCGGGACAGAACTACAGCGCTGCTCGCCAGGTACTGAATATATACTTTTGCTGAATGATATAAAAACCATAATACATAATTACTGCTATAACATAACGCTGTTTTTGGTTGGGCAGGTTTCTAACTGGAATACATTGTATTGTTATAAAAGTCATGGCAAATAAGAAAAGAAAGAAAAGTAAGGGAAGCCAGTCTGACGAAATAAAAGTCAGAGTATAATATGTCAAAAATATTTACAAAATAGAGTTTCGGAAAAACAGTAACTGTATGTCAAAAATATTGTGTGTCGGAAAAATAGTATTGTTAGTATCTAAAATTGTTTTGTGTTGTTGTGTTTGTGTTTGTTTGTGTTTGTGTTGTGTTGTGTGTTTGTGTTGTTGTGTTTGTGTTGTTGTGTGTTTGTGTTTTTTGTGGTGTTGTGTTTGTTGTGTGTTTTGTGTTGTTGTGTGTTTGTGTTGTTGTGTGTTTGTGTTTTTGTGTGTTGTGTTGTTGTTGTGTGTTTGTGTTGTTGTGTTGTTTGTGTTGTTGTGTGCGTTGTGTTTGTGTTGTTGTGTTGTTGTGTGTTTTGTGTTGTTGTTGTGTGTTGTGTTTTGTGTGTTTGTGTTGTTGTGTTGTTTGTGTGTGTTGTGTGTGTTTGTGTTTGTGTGTTGTGTTGTGTGTTTGTGTGTCAGCTCCTCCTTCTCCTCCTCGCTCTGAACACAGAGGGGGGGGGGGTCAGCACCCCAACACAAACACACAACAACACAAACACACAAACAATACACACACACAAACAATACAAACACACCCCAACACAAACACACAACAACACAAACACACAAACAATACAAACACACAAACAATACAAACACACCCCAACACAAACACACAACAACACAAGCACACAACAACACAAGGTGATTGTATAGTACGTGGTAAAAAAAGACATGAGTATCTCCAAGAAAGTTATAGTATATTCTCTCTAAGAATAGTCATAGTATGATGAACATTTTTATAAAAGTCACTACAGTATATAGAATTTGGAAACCTTTATAATAGTGTGTGGCAGAGTGGCCTAGTGCGTTGGTGTTGGGATCAGGGGGTCACAGGTTCAAACCCCACTGCAGTCAGCATGTCGTTGTGTCTCTGAGACTCTTCACCCCAAAGTGCTCCTGTGGGGATCGTCCACAGTGTTGAGTATGTGAGTCTCTCTGGATAAAAGCGTCTAACAAGTGACATGTGATAATAGAGAATGTCCGCCCTCTTTAAGGAATGAATGTTTGTGTTTTTCCTGCAGGCTCTGAGGCCGGTCCCTCCTCCTAAAGTCTGAAGTGCCAGGTCCTGCAGAGACTCACCTTCAACCCAAAGAGTTTTTGTATTCAACTTGTCGTGCCTTTTCCTCTGCAGCGTGACGGAGATTCTGGACTTGAACTCGTCTCCTGAACGCCGTGCGCTGATGATTTGAGATTACAGGGAAGAACTGCACTTTGTTGTTAAACCACAGGGTGCAAACAGCCCTGAGCGTGAGCCATACCGTTGTATCTGTTGTTTTCACGATAACACTGAATGTTATTGTCAAACAGTTTCCAGCAATATTTTTTACAGTGTATTTTTAAACTGCTTTTTAATAATGGTCATGCTTTTCTGGTGCGATGTGTAAAACCACTAACAACCCAAATGAAATGCTGCATTCACACTGAAACATGCTACACATCAGCCTGCTTTGTTGAATCTCAATTGTTCAAAATTCTGAATAACGAGGGAAAGAAATGAGAGAAATGTCTTTTTTATATAAGATACAGAATCTCCGTCAGATTGTATGGATTTAAAGAACAGGATTAAGACAAACTCAACAAGATACGGTTATTTTCCAATTACATAATGTCCTTTTCAGCATTTGGTCTCAATTGTATATAAGTCTACGGAATATATATATATATATTTGTTATGTTTCTTAAAAAGGGAGCATTGATGTTTTGCATTACTAATAACATTTCTGTAAATAGTGACCATGAGCATTATGGTGCGTTCGCTTCGGACATGATGCGATGTTTGTGCGCGTGGTGATTACATGTAAAGAAGCGGATAGACTAATTGATACGTATTGATATATCTTATAAGATCAGCGCCACAGTATTGCCCTCATGCTATATTTGATCTAGAAAAACCCCTGAATACTAATACTAGTCTTCTGGCATTAGTCACTCCTGACGTTTGAATTTGGTTTCAAATACAAAAATGGTGGTATTTGACACCAAGAGGATTTATTTTAAGTGAGTGAAAGTGATTACCTCATCTTGGGATTTTGAGTGGCTGACTGACTTTTTCTAAAGAGTAACGTCAACGTTTGCTAATGACAGTCCTTGTATAGTCCAATATCTGTAACAAACTAAATGCTGTTTCTTATCCTCGTTACAAAGACTAACGCAGGCGATGATGATGATGATGATGAGGATGGTAGAAATCCTGTGACTGAATATTTTGTCTATGATGTTTTGAAACGCTTAATGTAAATTAATAATGGCAATAAACTGTATTTTGTACAAAAGTGTTGTGTGTGTATAAGACAGAGTAAATGCTAAAGCTGCAACAACACATCTGTCTCAACAAGTCCTCCAAAAAACGATCAAATAGGGTGATTGTTCAACAGCTGATTACGACCTATAGTCACGTTTTAAACTGCTAAACTTTCAAACGTGACTATAGGTCGTAATAAGCTGTTGAACAATGAACCTATTTGGTCTTTGTTTGGAGGACAGGCTGGTGTGTTCATTGTCATGTCCAGCAGGTGGAGCTCTAACATAATAAACGGATGGTCTGATGTTCTCTTTTCACATTTGCTCCTCATGATTTTGAAAGCATTTTGAATATAAAACATGTATATATCAAATATATTGCATAATGATGCCTAAATGACCAGCCACACTGTACATTCCACTACAGTAGGTTTTAATCATAGCCTTAGTTTGTATATATAATTATTATTCTTGTGACTGTGGCTTATCAGAGAATGTGTGAATCACTAGTTTGTTTATTTAAAATCACCTTTGTAAAAAATGAGATGGAAAAAGTTAGATTCCATATTTAATTAATGCGCAACATTTTATTGTAATATACATTTTGTAATTGTTATCTTATATTTAAAATATTCAACATAAAGCCCAATAAACATAGGCTTACATATCGACATGTGTTCAACAGCTTTAAGCTTCAAGGATGTTGTAGTTAACCACTAATGGTAAAGAAGACACTAAATCAAACTATTACATACTACACAATTACACTTCCGCTATTTCTAACTGTCCTCGAGCAGACCCGTTTTTTTACTTTCCCTTTCGCAGCAGAGCCGAAGCAAGACTTCATGCAGGTCAGTCACCTTAGACAACATGACATCAACAAGTAAGTAAAATAGGTCAAATGACTACAGCAGGATTGTAAATGTAGTCGATAGAACAATATAATGTTAATAATAATGTAGTTGTACCGTATACAATATGTAGACTACTGGAACAGCGTGTTAGTGTGCAACTGAAGTTATGACCAGTCATCTTTACGGGAGAGTACATGTATCTATGTGGGAACAATGTAGATTTAGGTCTACTGTAATCATGTGATAAAGTTCTGCAGCAGCGTGTACTCAGTGTGTTAACTTATGAAAGTTATGACCAGTTACCTCTACGGGCTTTCTGAAGCAGAAACAGCCGACACCCATCAGAAAACATGTTCTGTGTTTCAGTCTGAACCGAGAGGGGCTCGTGTTTCCACTCGTTGTCTCTGAAAGTGCAGAGGCGCCATTTCAGATATCAGGGAACGAGCAGGCGGACATGTTTATTTATTTATTTATTCATTTGTTTAACAGGGACAGTGCACATTAATGACAGGGTTGCCAACTCTCACGCATCTGGCGTGTGACACACGCTTTCACTCTCAATCTCACGCTCTCACGCTGCCCAAACTATTCTCACGCCAAAAAACAAGAATACCGAAGACTAGAAACGGTTTTGAAAACTGTTGTGACGTAGTGATCGTCTTCTCAATAGAACATCTTTGATAATGTCTTCTGGCCAATCAGAATCAAGATAACTGCGTGGTGTTGTTGCAGGAAGTCCCGACGGAGATTAATTTTGCTGTAGTACATCTCTATACGTCGATACAACATTACGTGTTGATAGGAATCAACACGTAATGAAATAAGACCCCACGGTTTGATGATTGATAGGTGTGTGGGCTGTCTTTCATTTTGACACACAGAACACTGGGGGCTATCCACCCTTATCCACAAAGTAAAGTAATTCACAGCCTCTTCCCTGTTCTCTCTGTGAGGAGCAGCAGGTTCAGCTTTCATAACAAAGTAACAAACTAAAATGGCATTCATTTTTTTAAATATGTGGTGTAGTAATAGATGTATTTATTTTTCTTCTCAAGAGAGTACCAGAATGTGTATTTTATGTTAGTATTTCAAAAAATCTCCTGGGGGAGAATCCCCCCAGACCCCCCTTCAGGGGTTGTGTTTTCAGCATGTCAACTCTTTCACCTGTGGGGAAATTGCAGGATTGGCTCCAGGTCGCCCTTTTTATTTACTACAAGACAAATGTGCCTTTTTATTTCATACAGTTCAATTTGGATTGAGACAGGGAAATAATCTAAACCTCACGCGTGGCGTTTCACTGTCAAGGGGGCGATATAGCGTGTATGTAATTACATTTCAAATACTGACATGAGCCCCACCACTGTATGGGTTAGCCCTACCATAGATTACTCAACACAAATACTCTCTCGCAACTGCCGACCCGTATTGCGCATGCGCAGATCTAAGATCCAGTAGAAATGATAAAAAAGTAAAAGTCTGCTGCTTATTGTTCTACTAGGCCAACATAGAGAGTGTTAATTAATATGTTTGGCAGTTTGGAGTAAGTCTGTAGATTTGTGTGTGTGTGTTTCATGTATAGACCTCTCACGATAATTCATTTTGTTGGATACATTTTCCCGGAAATTATTGCGATAAACGATAATATTGTCGGCACTTACACTTTACATTTTACATAGGCTATCTTTTATTTGTAAACATGCAAAGGCTTTTCTGTCAGATGCACAACAATGGCTACAGCCAGGTTCAAATCTAAAGTCCCTCCAACAGTGCAATATAGGCTACAAGATATTTGAAGTATACTTACAAAGACATAAGAATAATAAATAATAAGGAAGGTTAGCGGTGCAAAAAAAAAGATGCAAGTGACACAATGGTGCAAGTACAGTTCTGGAATAATTAAATCATGTACTGTACATGTGAAATATAATACACAGTGGAACAACTATTTAAAAAGATACTGTACATTGGAATAAAACAGTGATATAAAGATAATAGTAATCATATTATTAATAAGCAGTCTTTATGTTATAAAATGATATATAACAGCTTCGGAGATGTTTCCTTTGTCTGTCAGCTCGATGTCAGGTGACCATTTCCTTTTTAAATTGTGTTTTTGAGATTGTATTTTTCAAACATCTGTTAGTGCAGTTCATCACCTGTTTAGAACTGGTGTTGCTGCCATGGCAACACTACAGCGGTGTGTGTCAATGTGGTTTATGGGGATCAGTGTAAGTTTTACTGTGAGTTATACTGGCGGAAAGTATTCAATGTTTATACAATTGGAATTGTATTTTGTGATGTTATCAGTGATGTTATATAAGTGCTTGTAGTTTTTAATTGACTTAGTTGTATTGTTAATAAGCTGTGTCCACCTGACAGAGGGAGCACACACTGAAAAACAGGCTGTTGGATTCACATGATTTTAATGTCTACTTAAAACTATTCAATTATGTTAAATTCACACAATTATTATATTTCGAGGAAACATTACATTTGTATGTTCATTTGAATATTTCCTTACCCTATGTTGAATCGACATTACTTTTCAATGTTCATTTTAGGCTTTGAATATGGTCAGTCATTTGTACCTGTTAAAGCAACATAAATGTGTTGTTTAAACTACATGCTATAGTGTTCTGTTTAATCGACCTAGCCTGCTCAAGGTATTCTTACACTATTAAGGTAAACACAACCTGCATATTGTTGTGGAGAAACCTCTGAAGTTGGGCCGGATGTCTTTGAGATCTCAACAACACTATGTTAACACTTATTTAACCTAAATAGTCAAAAGAGTTCCATTAGAATAAAGTTTGCTGAAGATTCAACAAAGTTCAGTGTTTTGACCATGCTATCTTCATCCTAAACTAATTAACAAATACATTAAAAATAAAACCATTTTTTGTATTAAAATGTGAAATGCGTTGCATATCAAAGCAAGGAAGCTTAAAGGAAACTATTCTCCTGAAGCCAAATGGCAAAAGATGCTTATTTTATAACCATTATATTTCACAGTGAAGAATGAACTAAAACGGCCAAATACTAGCAGAATAAAATACATGTTCTTCCAAATCCATTATTTAGATAGGAATGTGCTAATATGAAAGGGCACTTTAGTACAAGAAAACAATGGCATTGCTTTTAAAGATAAATAAAAGTATAATAATGGCCTGGTGCCTCACCTCATTTGCAGTAAGGAATGTATAAAACACAAACCACCCCCACATTTTAATATAGGGGGAAAACTGACATGTTGTAGCAGCTCAATTAGTTGAAATCTTGAAGTTAAATCTGACATCGCACTTTGATGCAGTTGGTAATTTTGGGAACACATGACCCAAGGAAAAACACACTTCTGAAACATGCAAATAAATACAGCAAAAAGCAGGAACAGAAGAAGTGCAAGAAAGTTGCATCGGTGAAAGTCCAGTAAAAATGCTGCTTTAAAAGCCCTCTATCTTTTCAGTGTAGTCTAGCTATTAAACAAAAACAGGGCTGTTCATGATTATGGCTATATACTATGTGGTGTTTCAATAAATATATATTTTAAAGCCCAAAAAAAAATCAAAGGTCAACAATTATTATATTCACCACAAACTCTCACCTGGGGCCTCATGTATAACGCCGTGCGTAGGATTCACGTGGGAAGGTTGCTTACGTAGTAGAAATCCTAAAAATAGGTACAGAAATGTTCCGACATTTTCCGATTCACCAAACATTGCGTACCGGCGAGGAAAGTGCGTACAGCACTTCCTACGCCGGTTTCCCTTTATAAATCACAACCGACTCTAAATGCGGTGCAGCTTTTGCGGGCTTCACGTAACGCCCATATTTGCCTATAAATAGTCAAAGAAACGCCCATTCATTCATTCTGACTGACTGCATGGAGAAGATCGCAGGAAATGACGACAGAACAGCTCAAAAAGACATCTCACACCGTGTCAGATTCTGGTTATTTTGGGGAGGTGGAGATAAATCATATTGTTTGGTGGATGCCGTTTGAACCAGAGTAGCAGCATGGAGGTCGGATCGTCACCAGAATAAATAAATATGTGGTCCGAAAAAGGTTCATGACAAAAACAATACACATAGCCTTCCTCAGGCAGTGTGTTTGTACCGGGGACAGGAGACCCCCCCTTGATGAGAGACTGTAAGAAATGATCAGTCATGACGACTGGATCTGAATTATGTTTTTGTATTCGGTGGTTTGTGTTCCAGCTGTCGATCAGCAACTATATATCCATAATCCACCAGTTAAAGGAAATACAACTAATGTGTTGTGTTATATTAGCTGTACAATTGACCACATCTGGTGTTCTTAGTTTCCATACCTCCTGTGTTTTACGAGCGACTTATCAAGTCTTAGCAAACGGCATAAAACATGATTAAACATGGTAGTATATAAAACCATGCTCGTACAACCTATAGAAATGCAAAACCGCATCATTTATGAGAAAACATTTCATAACATTAACACAACATATTGGAGGTGGTTTTAAATAACATATCCGTATTTATTTATTTCTCCAGGTGATGTGTTTGTGTGCACTGAGGAGTCTCAAACAGGCGTTTGTTTCATCATTTTAAGATTGGCTTTAATCAACATGAATTCTTCATATCTGATAAATGAGAGGTAACGTTTTATTTATGGTATTATTTCCACATATTTCTCTCCATTCTTCCTTCTGCCAACGGTGTCACAGTTTCTCGTCTCTCTCGTTGTTGTGCTTAGTGCGTACGCATGGGTTAGAGTTTGCGTGGAGGACCGCACGTTTTCCCGTCAAGTTAGTATTTTATAAATCGCAAACATTGCGTAGAAACTGGCGTACGCCATTTTTTGAGCGTATATCCCTTTATAAAGGAGGCCCCAGATCTGCTGGGTCCTCATTGAGGTTCACATCACGTGTGGGGACTCACCTACCTTATGGGGACATAATGGAGGTCCACAAGAGGGGAATCGTTCATTTTAGGGTGAAGACTTGGTTAGGGTTAGGGTAAGTCTCCAGGAAATGCATGTAAGTCAATGTAATGTCCCCTGAAGGTGTGTGTGTGTGTGTGTGTGTGTGTGTGTGTGTGTGTGTGTGTGTGTGTGTGTGTGTGGTCTAGCATTACTATACTTGTGGGGACCTAAATCTGTTTACATAGTCACGTGTGGGGACTGGCTTCCCTTATGGGGACAAATTGGAGGTCCCCATAAGGGGAATCATTAATTTTAGGGTGAAGTCTTGGTTAGGGTTAGGATTAGGGTTAGGGTAAGGTTTAGGCATGTATTGGTTAGGGTTAAGGTTAGGATAAGTCTCCAGGAAATGCATGTAAGTCAATGTAATGTCCCCTGAAGTGATGTATACATGGTATGTATGTGTGTGTGTGTGTGTGTGTGAGGTCTAGCATTACTATACTTGTGGGGACCTAAATCTGTTTACATAGTCACGTGTGGGGACTGGCTTCCCTTATGGGGACAAATTGGAGGTCCCCATAAGGGGAATCATTAATTTTAGGGTGAAGTCTTGGTTAGGGTTAGGATTAGGGTTAGGATTAGGGTTAGGGTTAGGGTTAGGGTAAGGTTTAGGCATGTATTGGTTAGGGTTAAGGTTAGGATAAGTCTCCAGGAAATGCATGTAAGTCAATGTAATGTCCCCTGAAGTGATGTATACATGGTATGTGTGTGTGTGTGTGTGTGTGTGTGTGTGTGTGTGTGTGTGTGTGTGTGTGTGTGTGTGTGTGTGTGTGTGTGTGTGTGTGTGTGTGTGTGTGTGTGTGTGTGTGTGTGTGTGTGTGTGTGTGTGTGTGTGTGTGTGTGTGTGTGTTATTTAGTATCAGGCCAAAGAGCAGAGCTACAGTCAGTTCTGAAATGAGCCAGTTTTCTTTGTTTTCACATTTTGGAGTGAGTGAGTCAGATTATTTAAAGTGTAATTCTTCCTCCTTTAGCTTCTCATCCTCAGGAAAGCTGTTCTCAGAAGAGCACAGTATGGCGACTGCAAAATCAGGTGAGTCCAGTCAGATATGTCTACTCTGGATTCAAGACTGTCTCTGACCATGAATATAAATTAGAGGTGTCACTCCAAAAATAAATTCTGTAATTTAAATACAAATAAACATTATGTAATAAAGGAATGCATCACAGCTACTTAGCTGGTTCAAGGGTAAATGGACTGTACTTAATGTACAGCGCTTTATCAGGCATTTAGGACCCTTCAAAGCGCTTTATCTACAAGTCTTCACCCATTCACACCTAATTCATCCAGAGCAGTGCCACTTTCTCTGGGAAACTAACACATGCCACCGGGAGCTACTCAGGGTTAAGTATCTTGCCCCGATCTGTTGACATCTTGACTGCACAGGCTGGGATCTAACCCACAACCTTCTTGTTCAGTATTTTGAAGGTAAAATAAGATTTTATTAACTAAACTCCTTAGCAGATTCATAGAGAGGCTGAAAACAGCTATTCTAAGAAGGCAGTTTGAGAAGAATAAAGCATTTTTTGAACATTACAGCATGTTAAAATATTCTAGTAGTCTCAAGAATATCTAAATAAACTTGAAAAGGTGTAAATATGTGACCTAAAGAAATGCATCGCAGCTGCTTGGCTGTCCTAGGTTCACTTTCTGGATTTCTTCTTTTTTTGTTGATGTTGTGTTCTGGTAGGTCTGGGTGTCTGTTTCTTATCTTGTTCAAGATTGTAGACCACTGTAATGTCTATTTCAATTACATGTAATAAATAATCAAATGCTGTCTCTTTCCAATAACAGAACATCCACATCCTCTAAAGCGCCGGAGCAGCCTTCAGTGGCTGCCACCTAACAGTGAGTAAAACTGAGCTGTGTTACTCTGCTTTAAGAACACCTGAGTGTTCAGTATTTTGTAGGTAAAACCTGCTGTTAGTAACCCTTAGGTTAAACAGCAAAGAAACTATACATGAATACATGGAAGTCTGCATATGGTCACCATTTCTAATTCTTTGTTTCTCACAGTGTCTGAGCTGAGGGTTGTTCTGCTGGGGAACAGCTGGCGTGAGAAGAGTTCAGTGGGGAACTTCATACTGGGAGCGACTGAGTTAAACACTGAGGAAGAACCAGACCGCTGTCAGAGAGTCAGTGGAGAGCTGGAGGGGAAAAGAGTAGTTGTGATCAACACCCCAGATCTGCTGCACGCCAACATCTCTGAACACAAACTGACAGAACATCTGGAAGACTGTGTGAGGCTCTCTGATCCTGGACCTCATGTGTTCCTGCTGGTTCTACAGCCTGAAGACTTCACTGAGGAACACAAACGGAGACTCTGCAGAGTCCTGGAACTCTTCAGTGATCAGTCCTTTGATCATTCACTGATGCTGATATCACCATGCAGAGAGGACGGTTCAGGTTTAATGGAACAACACATGGAACAACCCCCATTACAAGACATGATCAGAAAATGTAGATACAGATACTTGAAGTGGAAGAACCTTCAACTTCCAGAGCTGTTAACACGTTTGGGTCAAACTGCAAAAGAGAACTATGGAGAGCCTGTGAGCTGTGAAGTGTTTGAGGACGCCACATCTGCTTTACCTGGTGATCATCAAAGTCAAAAACCAAAGGAAATACGGCATACCTTCACCGAAGCTGTTATAGCTGCTGGTATGTGAAGGACAATGAAAAGTTGTTGATTTAAATCAGACGTGATATAATTTGAATATTAAGCTGCAAATTAATGATGTTCCCGTTCACAGGGCTGCGTGCGGTCACTTCACCATTCCAACGGTCAAACCCTGTGACTGACAGTAAGTAAATTCGTCCCAGTGCTATTTATGTATTTGTAGCATCCTTTCTGCAGTATTAACAAATCCCACAACAGCAAAGATGCACTAAACAGAAACACACATTTAAACCAATCAAATGGTTGTGTCGCTACTTTGACATCATCTATAGTTGATAGTTATAGTGATATAATCAAATCATCATATTTTGCTGAGGAAATCAATAAGTATATTTATTTTTCTAGCCCTGAAGGGAAAATAAACACTAAGATTCAATTAAATAATCCACAATGAATACGAGTAAACTACTGTTTCCTGCAGTGGGTATACTGAGTTTTTGTAAAACCCGTTTTCATAAATTGGCTGCAACGGCTAAACCAGAACTCTGGCTCATCCAGGAAATGAATGGAGATATCTTCATTTAAGTGAAGTGTATTTTAATTATGTTAATGAGTTCATGTAATTTAATTATTCTATCTGTGTTACAGCATCTGCATTCAGAATTGTGCTATTGGGAAAAAGTGGAGAGAAAAAGCGAAGAATCTGTAACTTTATAACCGAGGGCAAAGGTGGGACAACCCATGGAGAGTGGAAAGGAAAACAATTTACAGTTCTGAAAACTGCAGACATGTTCAGTCTTCGTGAAGAGAGCATGAGAAGAGAGGTGAAGAGCTGTGTGAGTCTTTGTCCTCCTGGACCCAATGTCCTTCTGCTGTTAGTGAATCCTTCTGATTTCACTGAAGAGAACAGACAAACATTGAAGTTCATCCTGAGTCTGTTTGGTCCAGAAGCTTTTAAACACTCAATGGTCATCATGACACACAAAGAGAATCAAAGAGAAGAGAAGTCCCACATCGTGAATCAGCTGCTTGAAGACTGTGGAGGAAGACTCTACAACATGTTTGAACACGGCCGTGATTCATTGATGGAGAAGATTGAGAAGATAGTTCATGGAAACAAAGGAACGTTCCTCACCTTCACTGAAGACATCAAACCAGCTTTGAATCTGGTTCTGTATGGGAGGAGAGGAGCAGGGAAGACTTCAGCAGCCAAGGTCATTTTAGGTCAGACAGAGTTTCCTTCAGTCTCCAACTCCTCAGAGTGTGTTAAACATCAGGGAGAGGTGTGTGGACGCCGGGTTGCCCTGGTGGAGCTGCCTGCTTTGTGTGGAAAACCTCAGCAGGAAGTGATGGAGGAATCATTCAGGTGTGTCTCCCTCTGTGATCCTGAGGGCGTCCATGCCTTCATCATGGTCCTACCTGTGGGTCCCCTCACTGATCAAGACAAGGGAGAGTTAGAGATCATCCAGAACACATTCAGCTCTCGAGTCAACGACTTCACCTTGATTCTGTTCACTGTGGAGTCAGATCCTACAGCTCCAGCTGTTGTTAACTTTCTAAAGGAGAACACGGACATCCAGGAGCTCCGTCAGAGATGTGGAGGAAGATATGTTGTTCTCAACATCAAGGAACAGCAACAGATCCCAGAGCTGTTGGATGCTGTGGAAGAGACCACAGTCGGAGGATCCAGGTGCTTCACAAAGGACATGTTCACCAAGGCTCAGATGGAGAAGGTTGTAGAGGTGGATAACACTAACCGAAGACTTAAAGCTGAACTGCAGGATGTTAAAAAGAAAAGTCAGGAGGGAGATGTTGAAGAAAGTCAGACCAGAGAGTGTCTCAGGATGGTGCTGATTGGGAGGACTGGCAATGGAAAAAGTGCAACTGGAAACAATGTATTGGGAAAAGAACATTTTACATCGATTTCAAGCTCAGAGTCAGTGACCAAGTTTTGCAAAAAGGAAACAGGAGAGATTGATGGACGACCTGTCGCTGTGGTGGACACCCCCGGTCTGTTTGACACGACACTGTCCAATGATGATGTTCAACAGGAGCTTGTGAAATGCATCAGCATGATGTCTCCTGGACCTCATGTGTTCTTGCTGGTGCTGACGATCGGCCGAATTACACAAGAGGAAAAAGACACAGTGGAACTGATCAAGAAATGTTTTGGCAAGAAATCTGGAGATTTCATCATCATCATATTCACCAGAGGAGACGATCTGGAGGACGAAACGATTGAGAGTTTCATAGAACGGTCCGGTGACTTTTTGAAAAAACTGATAAATGACTGTGGAGGGAGATACCAGGTCTTCAATAACAAAGATCAGACAAACCGCATGCAAGTCAGAGAGCTGATGGAGAAGACCAACAAAATGCTGAAGGACAATGGCGGCAGCTGCTTCACCTCAGAGATGTTCCAAGAGGCCGAGGCGGCCATACAGAAGGAAGTGGAGAAGATCCTGAAGGAGAAGGAAGAAGAAATGCAGAGAGAGAGGGAGGAGCTGCAAAGAAAACACGAGGAGGAAATGGAAGAAGTGAAGAGAAGAATGAAACAGGAGAGAGATGACATTGAGCAGAAGAGAGCCAAACAACTTCAAGAGATGGACGAAAAAATGCACAAGGAACGAGAGGAGAGAAGGAGGGAAGAGGAACTGAGAAAGAAAGAGGACATGGAGAAGAAAAGGCAGGATGACATTACAAAAAAGGAATGGGAGGAAAAACTTGAAGGAGAGTTGGAGGACAAAAAAGAAGAGATGAGAAATCAAAAAGAAGACTGGGAGAAGGAGAGAGAAGAATGGTGGAATAAACAACGTCAAGAAAATAAAAAGAGACGACAAGAGGAGCAAACAAGAATTCAGAAGCTGCAAGAAGAATACGATCAGGAAAGAGAGAAACATGAACAGAAAAGAAAAGAAGAAGATCTAAAGAGAAGTGAACAGAAGGAGAAGGAGAGACAGGAATTACAGGGAAAATATGAGAAAGAAAAGGAGGAGATGAAGAAGAAATATGAAGAGGAGGCCAGAAAACAAGCGGAAGAATTCAACGAGTTCAAACTGGAATACTCCAAGGACTTTGCCGCCTTGGCGGAGAAGCACATGAAGCAAATAGAGGACCTGAAGAAAGATCATGAAGGACAAATGCAACAGTCCAAACTGCTACAAGATCTTTCCAAACACAAAGAAACACAGACAAAAGAGAGTCTTGCAAAAAATATTACAGAAATGAAGAAAAAACATGATAAAGAAATAGAAGAACTAAAAAAAAAATGGTGTCGCATCCTCTGATCTGATGAAAAACTTGAAGGAGAGTTAGAGCAGAGTAAAGAAGAGATGAGAAAGCAGAAAGAAGACTGGGAGAAGGAGAGAGAAGAATGGTGGAACAAACAACGTCAAGAAAATAAAAAGAGACGACAAGAGGAGCAAACAAGAATTCAGAAGCTGCAAGAAGAATACGATCAGGAAAGAGAGAAACATGAACAGCAAAGAAAAGAAGAAGATCTAAAGAGAAGTGAACAGAAGGAGAAGGAGAGACAGGAATTACAGGGAAAATATGAGAAAGAAAAGGAGGAGATGAAGAAGAAATATGAAGAGGAGGCCAGAAAACAAGCTGAAGAATTCAACGAGTTCAAACTGGAATACGACAAGGACTCTGCCGCCTTGGTGGAGAAGCACATGAAACAAATAGAGGACCTGAAGAAAGATCATGAAGGACAAATGCAACAGTCCAAACACAAAGAAACACAGACAAAAGAGAGTCTAGAAAAATATATTAAAGAAATGGAGGAAAAACATGAAAAAGAACTAGTACTAAACAAAAAACTAGTACTAAACAAAAAATACGACGACAAATTGTGTGTCATCCTCTGATCTTCCCACTGACTCATGATCATCATGAAACCAGATGGAACATCATGTCAACTTAATTCAACAGCAGGTTTCTGGATGATTCTTCTCAACAGGGTCCAATCAGGAGACTAAGAAATACAACACCAATTGTGACATTTTCACCTTATTTAAATGACGATGGCACAGTTTTCCAAACAGTTGTAGTTTGTTTGAAGCCCCGAAAATGTTTTTACTGATTGCAAATGTTAGCTTTAAAAATTACTTTTGACTTTGATTATCTGTTGTAATATTCTTCTGGACACTGTATGTGAGCACTCAATAAGGTTTGTTGTATTTTGCATTATAAACATAAACAATTGTGCAAGTTAGAGAAGTCATCTGTATTGAGTTTGTGTCCAAACTCATTTTATCCCTGTGTAAAAAGCACTGCCTTTTAGCTGCAATATTCGTCACAGTAATGTTCACACCGGACGCGATGCGGTTTTGAAGCGGTTGACGCAAAGGCCGCGGCGCGATTGAGACGATTGAAGGAGGCCGCGACAACCGCTCGAGTTACATTTTTTCAACTCGAGCGTCAAATTTGCTTGACGCGTTCTCGCGGTAGCCAATCCGTGGTGAGGACCTCAGCCTGCCGTCACTGACGTTGAAACAGAAAACCAAAACATCAGCTCTTAGCACACAGAGCTCACAGCTCCTCATATCTGTTCAGAAACTGGACGAAAGTTAAACAAGTACAAACCACTGTCTGTGTCATGGAGAATACAGTCGCTGGTTTATTTATGTCTGTAGGACGTTGTTGTGAGTGTGGACGGTCGGAGCATATACTGCGTTAGCTTAGCCTGATCAATCCGATCTCCATTTAGAAAACACGCATTTTAAAAAGGTTGTTCGCCTGCCGTCTGTCTGCAGACTTGTCAAAGCATTCATTCATGGTTTTTACTAACCGGTATCAGTATGTTGTTACTTCGGCATCATTTAGAAACGTGTATTACAATTAAATCACGGTTAAATATGTTCATTTTGTTGTAGTTGGTATCTCCCATAGTATTTACATGGAGATAACTTGTTTGAATGATGCGACTAAACACAGCTGACAGCCGCGGTGAAACTCGAGCGATTAGAGAATATTTGCATCGCGTCCGATGTGAACGCAGCATTAGTGTGTTCATGTTTCTGAAGTTCATTGACTTGTGTTAATTAAATGAATCGCTAATTACAAACTGTCTAATTCTTAATAACCCACATATCAAAATATCAGTTTTAAGCTTTGAGTGGTTTGTGCCATCTTTTGTTTTCTTTAGAAATATATCTTCCAATATTCAGAGCACGTGCTGCCACTAGAGGGCGCCCTGTCTGTGAGCAGCTTGTTCTTAATGTGTTGGGATTCCTGTTCAATGATCTGCAGCCTGATGCCGTTTGTCACTGCAGTGAGAGTTAGCATATGCTTCCTGTTCCTGTCATTATCATAACTATCAGCCATTTTCGTTTTACAATGTGTTTTGCCTCATTGTTGCTTTAATAAATATATAATTCAAATGTCATAGTTTACATGTTATTTCCTTGCAAATATCTATATATTTAGACTTATTTTTATATTGGATAATATTTAGTTACAATGTAAAGCTTTGGATCAAAGCACATACACTTCCTCAGCTGATGGAGGTTTCCCAGTAATGCATCAATAACTTTAATCATATAATATAATTCTGAAATGGGTCATTGTGCTTTCTGGAGTACTTTAAGTAACTTTTGTTCTTAAGTAGGATTTTCATTCAAGGGATTTTACCTGACTGAGTATTTTACCATGCGCTATTACTACTTACCACTTCTAGATATAGCAGTGACTAATACAACATGAACCTAACAGTGGTGACGATTAGAAGAATATATTATGTATGCTACATAATATAATTGGCATGTACTAATGTTCTATTCTGATACTGATTAGAATAGAACTTGGTTTATTGGTTTAAGTTATTTACATAGAGGAATTTACTTTGGTGTATTGGTGCAGAACAATGAACATTAGAAGAGGGAGTAACATAAATGCCAAGTACTACAAAAGTCAAGAAACAAAGATATATATATAAAAAATACAATTATGTTATAAATAGGAAACAAATATTTTCTTTTAAAATATAAAGATCTGAACAGTTTTCAAGGTAGAAGTTTTGAGCAAAATAAATATAAATAAATATTGTCAATTGAAGGGAATGTGTAACAGGCGCTCGTAGTTCCGCACAATCCCCACCCCCCGTCATATGTGTTGTGATTATCAGCTGTACAATTTACCATATGGTGTTCTTAGTTTCCATACCTCCTGTGTTTTACGAGCGACTTATCAAGTCTTGGCGAACGGCATAAAACATGATTAAACATGATAGTATATAAAACCATGCTCGTATCTACAACCTATAGAAATGCAAAACGGCGTCAGTTTAGACGTAATTCTGTCCTCCTGCTTACCGCATCATTTATGAGAAAACATGTCATAACATTAACACAACATATTCGAGGTGGTTTTAAATAACATATCCGTATTTATTTATTTCTCCAAGTTACGTTTTTGTGTGCACTGAGGAGTCTGCATATATTGTGTGATCCATTTCTCATCTCTCCCGTTTTTGTGCGTACGCATGGGTCAGAGTGTCCGTGGAGGATCGCACATTTTCCCATCAAGTTTGTTTTTCATAAATCACAAAGATTGCTTAGAAATTGGCGTATGCCCTCTTTTGAGCGTACGCCACGTTTATAAATGAGGCCCCTGGTCTCTATATTGCTGTTTTAGTCTACGTTCTTCTGATTAGTGTCCACATTGTGCCTATTGAGCCGTGTTGAGCAAACCCCGATCTGCCCCTCTCTCTCTCGTTGTCAAAATGAACGTGTGCTGTGAAAACTACCCTGCAGGAGCAACGCTCGCCTGCACCCCAACAGACCTCAGTCTCCTCAGCAGGTACAGTCTGCTCTGTCCTTTCCTGTTAAGAGCAGGTTGTCTGACCAGTCCAGTTTGTTGTTCAGATAAACACCCAGGTACGATTTTACAATCTCAATGTCGGCTCCCTGGATGTTCACTGGTGTGGGGGGAGAATGTTGGCACTGTATGAAGTCCATAACCATCTCCTTGGTTTTGCCAAAGGTAGATTCTCAAAGAATTTTGTTCAGCGATGAGAAAAAAAATCTCAAGGTATCATTGGTCATCATGATCAGTTCTGATTGTACAACCCCTAAATGTATGAATGAACTGCTTATTTGTTTGAGTTTGTATGCAAGCATGTTAGAGACATCACAGACTTTCGATACAAGACAAGGGAATTATAATTTAAGGGGATTATTTAAATTCACTAATGTTAGGGTGCGCACAACCAAGCGAGGTTTTTGTATTTCTGTGTGTGGGGTGAAGCTTTGGAACAGTTTGAATGAGGAGCTCAGGGGGTGTCCTAACGTAACACTGTTTTAAAAAAAGGTATAAGGACATGATTTTCGCAAGATACAGGGATGAAGTTGTTTAATCAGGTGTTTACGGTTTATTTATTTATTCAAAAGCTGATATAAACGTACAGAAACTGAAGGAGCAGGCGAGGTAACAAAATAAAATAACTAACAAACCACATCATGGGGACAAAAGGAACGGGAGCAGACGGATGGACGGATGGGAACAGGCACAGAACATGGACAAGACCAGGTAGGAAACGACGACAACCGAACATGGAGCACAGGGGAAGACGAGACTAAATACACAGAAGGGTAATCACAGGACACAGCTGGGCAGGGGAGGCAGAAACACAAGGGCAACAGGTGAACACAATCAGACAATCAGACTAGTGTTGTCACGATACCAACATTTTGGTTTCGATACCGATACCAAGTCAAGAATTGCGATTCCGATTCTTTTTCGATACTTTTCTTAAAAAAAGGGAAACAGTCTTAACCTGTTAAACCCGAGCCTGTTTTTCAGGTTTCAGGCTGGAAAATTACATTCCCAGAACAAATGACTATAACTTAACTTCTAAAAGGTTTATGTAAATAATTGTTGTTATCAAAGCAAGGTTACATCTGTGAGTTGGATGTAGAAGTGTCAGAATCAATATAGATGTTTCTGTGTCAGAGTAAATTCAGATGGAACATAGCAGAAAAATGTAAATTCCTGTCTCCGCCTAAAGAAAACCCATTACTTATAGTGAAGACCAACCTTGAATGTTGGGTTAGTAGCCTAAAAGCTTTAGGAATCCAAAGTATAACATATAATAAGTACCCTGTATCAAGATTGAGGCAAAACAAGTGACATTTTACCTTTTTAGGGAGGTTTATGAAAATAAAGTCCAGGCGGAATAAGCTTTGGGCACATTTGGTTCCATCAGTGCCATTTGACCTTTTTCAGGTACCAGACTATAAAAATCATTGTATTACATTGAATCATCACTATAGGTATTCATTCCACCCAAAACAACAACAACATTTTGTTTTTAAATATTTTGTGTGTGTGTAGGTGTGTGTGTGTGTGTGTATGTGTAAGTGTAGCTGTGTGGGTATGTGTAGGTGTGTATGTGTAAGTGTAGCTGTGTGGGTATGTGTAGGTGTGTAAGTGTAGCTGTGTGGGTATGTGTAGGTGTGTAGGCGTGTAGGTGTGTAAGTGTAGCTGTGTGGGTATGTGTAGATGTGTATGTGTAAGTGTAGCTGTGTGGGTATATGTAGGTGTGTATGTGTAAGTGTAGCTGTGTGTGTATGTAACTGTACCAACGCACTATACAATACAACTACACTGTAGGTCATTGTGTGTAGGTGTACTTGCACAATAAAAAAAACGGAAACATAGGTAACATTTGACTCCAACTGGGGCAGATTTATTTCAAACATTTTACCAACACACTATAGGCATGTAAAAACAAACATTTTACCAATGTACTATACAATAAAACCACACTGTAGGTTTGTAAAAACAACAAATATTTTACCAACACACTATACAATAAAATCACACTAGGTATATAAAAACAAGTATTTTTTTTTAAATAAACACTCGCAAAACGTTATACCTACCTGAACTTTATACCTACCTGAATGTTCCAGTATTTAGGTCGTGCCACTCCCTGAAACAGTTCTTTTTGACAGTGAAGCACAGAGGGACCTGGCACTTCCTGCAGTACACAGGTGTCTTCACCCTTTTGAGTCCAGCATCTAGGCCCCTCCTGCAGTTCTTCCTGACCTTGGTGGCATCTTCCCCATAATACTCGGACATGCATGTGAGTGGTGGAGGAGGGGGTGGTGGAGGTGCAGGGCCTTCAGCAGGGCCTTGTTCAGAGTTTTGAGAGGTCCTGATAATTTATTCCGGTAAATTACTCTGACCTCCTAATTGACCTTTCCGAAGATTATTGAGTCTATGTAAGTTTGCTGCTTGGCTCAGATCCACCAACGTCAGCAAGATCTCACCTCTTCCTAACCCCCCCGAAGAACCAGGTTCAATTAACTGCTGTTTCAATTCAGACAACTCTTTTTTAATCTGTTTAAGGGATCCCGAAGGATTTTGATATCAGTAAATGGAGTATGCTCCTACCTAAGTGTGTGTGGCAGGGTGCAATCTTACCTTTGACGCAGGAGAGGAGGGCACAGGTGTCTTTTAAAGGATCCCAATCCAACAGGTGGGATTCAGTTTATTTGAGGAAAAATAGGTCCAAACTAATACAGGGTTTTTACCTTCTCTCTCACAACATTATAATCATCCTAACAAAAAACCGTGCTGTGATCATGTTCAAATGAAACTTTAATTCACAGTCTTACATTTATTACCAAAATGTTTTAATTCCAACTGCCCATTTCAGTTGTGATATTTTAAAATTCTCCCGATAGAATTTAGAGGTATTTCCTCGTAAAAAGACCGGTGACAATAAAAAGCGCATTCAACTTTTCCATTTCACCAACTCAATTCACATCAGTTTCATACCGTTTTTTCCGACACAGACGGCGGATTAACACTCAAAAACCCATACCTGTCCGCCAAGAGTTCGAAGGAAGGTCCTTACAGGTCGCGGTATTTATAATTTTCAAACACTTTTTCCGACACAGACGGCGGATTAACACTCAAAAACACATTCCTATCCGCCAAGAGTTCGAAGGAAGGTCCTTACAGGTCGCGGGTTATAATATTCACCAACACATCTCTCATCAAATCATTCCACTCAGCCAACAACCAAGAAAATCGAGAGATATTTACCAAGTGTGAGAGGACCTTTTCCGAGAGCTAGTTACCCAGCTCTGAAGCACACAGCCTACCCGGAGAGAGTCTACCAGGGGTCACCCCCCCTCTCTCGCGCTCTCTCAAAAAACCAGTCTCTTTATGATAAAAAAAACTGGATCCTAAACCCAAAAAAAACAAACTCCTCCTCTTCACCCAATTCAGTTGAAAACTGCGCATGCGCACTAATGTACAAGGCTAAACATGTCTCCACATGTTCCACAGCTGTTATGGGATAAGACACCCTTTCATATGAGATAAAAAGGACATGAACTCTCTTTGGCCTCTTAATGTTTCTCCCCTTAGTGTG